AAGATCAGCAGATGCACTTTTGTCTTGTATAATACATGGAATTTCAACTTTTTCCTGTCAGATCATGCACAAGATTTACGGCCCTGACTGCCATGTCTTGACTTCTAGTTTTGGACTAATGCACGAGGATGTTTATTTAGATTCTCCTATCATTTCTGCATCCAAACCAACCTTTAGCCTGGGTCACATCCAGCTGCTAACACATCGGCGAGTGACTAACCTGGCAGGATGCGAGCTGTTGCAGCTGGGAGTGATTCAGCAAGCATTTATAAAACGGCTTGAGCTTTTGGAAACCACACGGACAGAATGTGTCTTAACCGTGTTCTGGGTAACGGGACTCTCCTCGGGGGCAAATGGCTTCAAGAATACAAGCGTCACAGCAACGTTCCTCATCCGCATCTAAAAGAGGGGTGGGTTGCGTTCACGAGCGCAACAAAAGCTTTATGGTGACGTAATATGATAGGAAGTGAGGAAAGAAATTGGTTCTTTGTTTGCAATTCCAATATATTCCCTATCATATACTTAAGCAATAGCTCACGACAGGCCGTGGTATATGCTCATTATATCACAGCTAAGGGGCGTGGTTCGGCCCGACGCGAAGCGGAGGGTCCACAACCCCCTTAGCTGTGATATACTGTTTTTCTCAGACGCGGAGGGATACTGCCTTGTTGTGAAAAGTAATTTACAATTCTATCCGTGGTATACGCTCAGTATATCACGGCTAAGAACCAATCAGATTGCTTGATTTGACTTGTCCGTTTTATAAACTGTAACAAAGAATGAGCACCATTGTGAAGGACACTTAGCATTCTTGCCAATGCAACATGCTCACTTTTCTCTATATATATTAAAGGAAGGCTCTGAATGAGTCCGTCCTACCTGTCAAAAAACCCCTGGCTGCATATAGACACAAATGACTGCCTATTGCTAATTTCCCAGGTAATTACAGGTTTGGCTCGGCTCTTGAATTCGCTGATTATCCCGAACAACACAAACCAGAGCTGTCACAGTGTCAGAAGAGGGAATTTCCCAGGTTGAATTCCAATGCAATAGTGTTAAGTTTAAAGAAAGACAAACACAGAGAGAGACAGGCGGACAGAAAAAGACTGTAGGCAGATTTCTCGACATGTAAAATGAGAATTGAGCCAATGTGAACTGCAGTGATTCGAGGACATGCCCCATTTTCAAAAGGACACTATTTTTAGAGAGTGGTGTTGCTGCTAACTTTGTAATAATATCAAAAAGACAAATATTTGAAACTAAGATATTAAATATACATTTCAATATTTTGAGTTCCAAACTGATTTGGAGTGGATTGCATCTCTTTTTGTTCTCCGTGCATTCGTGAGTATCGCAAAAAAAAGTGCAGCTTAAGCTCAACGGAGAGATAAACAATGATAACATGGGGAGTTTCCTCTCTTGCCCTCACTGCTGTGTTGACTTATCTCAGAGGTGAGTTGTGAAATTGAGAGGTGTCCTTTGACTTCCATCTGGAGCTGCTTGCCCCGACATGCAACCACCTGTGACCTGCGTGAACCTGCAGCAGCCACTGAAGGAGTCATCTCTGGAAAAATGTTGGTCTAATACAATCATCTAATCCCATGTGTACACGGAGAGACACTCGTTTATGTTTTAATAAATACAAGTACTCAGATCTTTTACTTAAAGGTCAGCTATTATGCAAAATCTACTTCTTCATGTCTCTTCTACATCAACANNNGAAGAGACATGAAGAAGAGGGGACACATGTTGATGTAGAAGAGACATGAAGAAGAGGGGACACATGTTGATGTTGAAGAGACATGAAGAAGAGGGGACACATGTTGATGTAGAAGAGACATGAAGAAGAGGGGACACATGTTGATGTAGAAGAGACATGAAGAAGAGGGGACACATGTTGATGTAGAAGAGACATGAAGAAGAGGGGACACATGTTGATGTAGAAGAGACATGAAGAAGAGGGGACACATGTTGATGTAGAAGAGACATGAAGAAGAGGGGACACATGTTGATGTAGAAGAGACATGAAGAAGAGGGGACACATGTTGATGTAGAAGAGACATGAAGAAGAGGGGACACATGTTGATGTAGAAGAGACATGAAGAAGAGGGGACACATGTTGATGTAGAAGAGACATGAAGAAGAGGGGACACATGTTGATGTAGAAGAGACATGAAGAAGTGGATTTTGCATGATAGGTGAACTTTAATAATGTTAATGCTCTGTCTCTTATCTAGTTGTGTTCAAACACTTTAAAATCTAGTCTACCATACGGCAGGGCCCAGGAGGTGGAGTGGGACCTCTCCAAGTAGCAGTCCACACTCCATGGGTGTTTCTCAATGTCGAGTAAGGCTGCTCCAGAGCCACTATTTCAAGCATACTACGTCATCGAGTGCCGCCGAAGGATGTCCAGCATACTTGGAATTCTACACGGTCTTAAAATCCCCACAATGCTTTGCGCACGGACCAATTTCCCCAAATCTGTGGCGGAAAATGTAAGGCGGGGCCTCTCATATGACGCATACTTGCTCGCCTGTTCCACTCTTCGTTTTCCGAATGCCAGGAAGTATTCTTGCCTCGCTTCTGAAGCAAGTGACTCGGAAGACATGTGCTACCAAGCAAGCATCCTCGACATTGAGAAACACCTCATATTTAGGTCTGGTATAGGGGACTTGAACCGGCGACCCTACTGACTGAGCCCCTGAGCCACTGCAAATGCACATTTGAGCACACAGCCCAAAAATGTGACTTCCTAACTTGGTATTTCCACCAAATTTGTTTAGGCAAATTACAGGATTAACACGCATTGTAGACAATATTATCAGTGTATTTGATGCATGTCCAGTATGAGGGCATATTTGCATTTTCCTAACATTTATATATTTGGTTTCACATCTATCGATATATAGAGAATGAGAAAAAAACCTTGGGTGTTTTCAAATATGTAACTTCTTTGTCCGCCTTTTTACCCTAACCCCTTTCCCTCCTTTCCCTCCCCTTTAGGTCAATCTTGACATAGCTTCTCTTAAATCTCTGCTTAATAAAACAGTCAGAATATAGTGAAGTACATTTTAAAGTAGGCCGGGCTGAGAACAAGTGTTCACACTGAAAAAGGACTAATGAGAGAAATGAAAGACTTTGATAGGGGATGACAGAAAAGAGAGAGTGAAAAGGAAAGAAAAGGCAGAGCGAGACAGAAAAGTGAAGATTTAGACTGAGGCAGCGAGGTTTCACTAAGCCTCCATGGCCATATTTGAGACAGGAGTATTACATTAATGCTCACTGGAGCCATAACGATCACTAGAGGATATCCTCATCAGCTCTAATAGAGCTCATGAGAGTATTTGCTGCTCAGGTGAAGACTAAAGGACTTCCTGCTTCGTCTTTCCTTACATTAAGAATTGGCTTCCCTTTTACTATATCATATTTTAATGGTAAAAGGATGTCCACAATGTTTAACTGTGTGCTAATGCATACTTTGTGTTCAAGCATGCTGTGTGTGCATGATAACTGTCTACACAGAAGAGTGCAAGACTAAAAGGCCACTGAAAAAAGAAACAATAAAATATATATTATTCAAATAAAACAGACTACTTCAAAGTCTTTATATGGTATTTTCAATCAATAAATCGAATGTATAAGTACAAAAGTGTGTGATTTAGGTGACCACAACCTTTAAATAGTTTTAATTTAGAGCTAAAAAAATCGAGCTAAAGCTAGCCTAGCTTAACACAAGGACTAAAAGAAGCAGGAAACAGCTGATTTGGCTCTTTCTTAAGAGTAAGGATACATTTCACAGTAAGTTTTAAGGCTAACGTGTTAAACCCCCTGTCATTTGATTGTTTAATTTGTACTAACATGTAGAATTAAGTAGAGAAAATCAGCCTAGCTATTATCCCGTTTTTAGTCTTTATGCTAGGCTATATGCTAGGCTAAGCTAATCGCTGCTTGTGGCTCTTGCTCAGTATTTAGTGTACACTTAAATCTTGCATAAAAAGTGCAGTGAAAAAAAGTATTTCCTGAAATGTTAAACCACAAGATGAATTTGGGACATTCCACAAAAATACGGACGATAGCGGATAACATCTCGTTCCGTTTTCATTTATTTCTTTTACATTTTTGAAGCGAGAGTCTGAATTCCATCCATCATCTCATTCAAGCTTTTATTTTGAGAAACTGAAAGATCATTTAGTTTTGGCTCTCGCTCCGGACGCAGTGGTATTGAATGTGGCTTTGGACCAGTTATTATTTTTTCTTTCAGATCCCATTTCCCCCCCGACCTCACCTTTCTGTCATTAACTCAGCCAGACGCTACTTCATCAAGCAAATTGTTGCGGTTTAGATGATATTCCTGATCACTGCAACATACTCTGGGTTCCTTTTGTCCAATATTTGCAGTAGAAATTGCCTTTATAGCATTCACCTGTTCCTAATTATGCTGTTTGTTATCATGGTCGGCCACCTGCATGGTCTCTGTGTGTGTGTGTGTGTGTGTGTGTGTGTGTGTGTGTGTGTGTGTGTGTGTGTGTGTGTGTGTGTGTGTGTGTGTGTGTGAGAGAGGGTTTGCTTGTAGGAATACATTCATATTTGATTGCGTGTGTGTGTGTGTGTGTGTGTGTGTGTGTGTGTGTGTGTGTGTGTGTGTGTGTGTGTGTGTGTGTGTGTGTGTGTGTGTGTGTGTGTTAAAGAGGCCCTGGAGTTCTTTATGTTTTTTGTTTTGTCTCAATCTCTGTTGCTAAGCTAAGTTTCATTTCTTTCAAGAACCTAATATTTGGNGTTAACAATACCGTGTAACTGTCACGTTTGAAGGGACGAAATCGTGACATCTTCACGCCTCCCAGCATGGTAAATCGTGACATGTTCACGTCATGCCGTGATACCGGGTTGTATTTAGACTGCAGATGTTGTCATCTAGTTGGCACAAAACCACAGATTTATCGATTTATTGAATGTTAGCTTGTGGAAATAAATGAAAAATGAAATGTTCTGTATTTTATCTTTCAGTGATTCAATGTTACAGAAACAAGAACATCTAAAGCAACAGAGTGAATATCCAATGTGATATAACCTTCATGTGTAAGTAGCCCCATTTAAACAGCTCACACACACACACACACACACACACACACACACACACACACACACACACACACACACACACACACACACACACACACACACACTATCATTTATGTCACTTCTGTTTTTGTCTTTGGGTTTCTGTTGAATTGGGTTCTATTTAAAGAAGTCCAAATATGTGGGAAATTATTTTTTTTAATGGTTTTCTGGTAGACGGTGTATCTGGTGAAGTGTAACTAATAAAGCTCCTATCAAATTACAGGTACTGTGAAGGATCTGAACGACAATCAACACAAAACACCCACTAAATACTGAAGTCTATCACCTGTGGGCCACATAAATCAGCTTTAAAAAGACACATCCAAGCAGATTGATCGGAGTCATTCTTAAAAATGCCCGGACAGCTTCCACCCCAGTTGTCCGGTCTGCTAATCAACCTCTGTGAAGCTGGGAGACTATTTATTAAGCAGCATGAAAGTAAGAAAACAAGAATGCAAGCCATTACAGATGAACTTGTAGAAATATCTAACAATTTAAAAGTGGTGCAGAACAATCTGAACAAAGCCAGACTACATGGGGCAGTCGTAGAAGGAGTTGGAGTAGTAACCGTGGGGCTAGCTGCAGCTTTTCTACCAGCTCCTGGAAAACTGGCATTATGCATCACAGGAGGCACGGTAGCAGTCTGCGGAGTAATATGGGCTCTTACAGCAAATGCTACCAAGGCCATGACAGAGATCATGAGTATCATCAAAATTGAAGATTTGGGGAAAGAATTAATGGAAATCATCGAGCTGCTAAAGGGTCTCCTGGTGGACATTAAGAAGGTGTCCCGGGAGTTGGAGGAAAAGTGCTCCTCTTTAATTACACCAACGAGGAACCAGGCAAAGATAGGACTGACGAAAACGGAAGAACTTCAGCAGCTTCTGAGGCAAACGGCTACACTGTCAGAGAAAAGCAAGGAAGTCGTGGACGGGACTCTCAACACACTGAGGCAAGTGAAGGAACTGTTAGACTTCATTATCACTCTCACCAGCAACACTCTTAAGACTGAGGATGACGCGAAGCTCAGAGACTTAATCACCGATTCAGCTCTGCTGTGCGAGAACACCGTGCTGGAGTTTGCAAAGATGAGGAACACGCTCAGGGACTACCTGGAGAAGCAGGCCGGGTAGGGACGTGCAACTCCATCGTTGAAGTAAAGCACAGTGTTGCATCACAGCTGCAAGCAAAAGTCCTTCGATAAAATACAATTAATCTCTACTTGCAGTCAAACATAATATTCATATGATCATAAATACATTGTTGAAAGGTTTATATCCAAACGTAGGAATACAAATAATTGCATTTTTATGTTTTTTGGATTGTTTTTTTTTTAATATAAACCAGTAAATGTTCGTAACCACAACTGTGTTTACTGTATATTTCGTCTGTGATTGTTTTTTGTGAGTGTAATAAGTACAAGTTGAAGTGATCATATGTTAAAAGAAATATGTGAAATGTTCTTTCTGTCAAAAGCATCTGAAGACGTGAGTCTGTGTTTTTCAGCAGCTTGCAGGCTGAGCACAGGCAGGAGAGATAGTTGACGCTGTATTCTACATATTTTACAGACAGTTTTGTACGTGGTGTTCAAAATGTAAAGACCACACTCTCAACCAGAGCAAGGACAAACTTCCAGTCTGAAAAGTGAAGCCAATGTGGAAGTGCCTTTCTTTCTAGTAGTCAGAATGGAGGCGACACTTGTACAGTGATATCGTATAGAAGTCTATGAAAGGACTTCTTTTACCTTAGTAAACATTTCCTTAAAGGGTTTATAGTTTAAATGACTGATCAATCATTTAAAGACTTCTTGAATACTGTTTTGAGTTCATTTTGTCAAGATTCAGAGATTTCATGTGAAGGAACCAAGTGTTACAATCTCTTAAACATGCAGTAACCACAAAGCTGTTCAATATAGGCTACTGCTTTTTGGATACTGTTGATAAATTAATCAACCGATGCATTACACTTTGTCAGCTGTGATAAAGACTTAAACAGGGCGGCAACATTTTAGGATTGTTGCCAAATACTTTCACTGCTTAGTCATACCTGGAATTTACTGTCCTTTCACTTCGGTAAACAATACATTCAATGACTAAGATAGCTAAAAATACATCACATAAAGGCTATAGCACAGGAGAGCTAATTGATGCTAGCATTTACATTTGCTGCCTTTCAGTGCATTCTGCCTCCACAGCCCGATATATTTGAGCAGATACTGTGGATAAGAAATGGCAAAACTGATTAAATAATACACGTTGTCGTCACTCTTATGTCTTGAGTTAAAAGTAGAGAGTATTGGCACCATTCCCATCTCAGTGTGCCTTCTCTATGATAGCATGTTTCCAGTTGTTATGCTAAACTACATATACAGGTCAAATACACTTGCAATGCAGACTTTCCTCCAGTCCTCTAACAGCTCCGGTAACCTCGACACCAACTCTCAGAGCCCTGCTGACCCTGCTTGTTTGTGGTCAGAGCCAATAGAGATGCATTTATAAAAACTCACGCTGCTTCGGGCTGACTTTCGACACCCTCGTCATGTGTTTCCACTTTAGCTGCAATTGTATTCCTCTTCATTATTCATTCAAACAGAGCAGCAGCAGCAGCAGTGGCCAGCACTTGCAGCAAATTTCTTCCATGTGTTTCTAATTGCCTCAGTCGAGGTGTTTTTAACACAAGGTGAAGTCATTAACACATGGGCACACTCTTTAGATGTGGAGCCAGGCGGCCGCGGGTGAGAGGGTCGACAACAGCTAATGCACCGATACAGAAACACATGTCACGCGCTGTGCAGAACACCAACGCACTAGTCCACTGCGCCACACGCCTCCTATATCTATTAATATTACATTTAATCTCTGGTGTAACTTCTTTTTTTTCTCACTATTTAACGATCGGAGGAGACCATCTTTACAAATTACATTGTATGTATCACGGCTCTTTCTAGATCTTCAAAAACAAAAGGAAAAACATTTTTAAATTAATGTAATCCACATTCAGGATTTTTTTTTTTCTTTTAAATTATGTATTTACTTGAGACATCATATAGCCCAACAACTATTGGCATCTGCTGTTTAGCGTAAATGTATTTATGAGTTAATCCAAACTCTGCTGTGCAGAAACTCTTAGGGAAAATACTGCAAATGACTGAAATGAGATATTGAAATATGTAGAGAAGACTGGACTAAAAGATCTGGAGGACAAATGTCCATCTATGCCATGAATAGAAAAGATATCCTGATAATTAACATGTGCCTTCAGAGGGAAATCAAAGAAGCTTTCAAGGAAATATTCAACACTTTTATGCACTTCTTGGAAAGTTAGCAAGCACCTTTAAAAATGTTTACTATCTCTATATCTCTTAATAGTACATTTAATTGATCATGAGTTAAGAATTTATAATGTGTTTTCCCCTGTATTTTAAGGATTGGAGGACGGCATCTTTACAAATGTCATTGTATGTATGGCGGTACATATTCTTTCTACATGTTATTTTTCATATGTCATATTATAATCCACATTCAGGATGTTCCATTAACTTTGATGCTATATACTTTCGTTTAGACATCATATAGCATCATTAAAGAATACAAGCAACATGTATTTGTGTGTTAATCCAAACTCTCCTCAGGATATCATATCATAATGTTTGCTTAAGGACAAAATGATAAGGTTCATTTTATCTTAAAGTTATGAGAGGCCCACACTTAAATATTACATGGCATTTAAAACCACTTACCTTTATATGATCATAGTTATTTATGAATCATCAGATACTGAGTGTAGGGTTCCAGCTCAGATTGTTTTCACCAAACATAATCCAACAGCTCCATCTGGTGTTCAGTTGAGAGTACTGCATGCATACAGGAGCAACCTGAGGAAAAGATAGAAGCAGAAGACATCCATACATTAGTGTTGAGTCTCATAAAGCACTGACACAGTTCTGCTTGTACAGTAACATAAGGGGAAATGTTCAAATCTAATGTTTTCAGAGAAGACATATTTCATAGTACAATTACAAATAAAGTTATTGATCATTGATGGCTGTCCTCCCTAAAGGCAAGTCAAATTGTATTAAAGCCACGTACAAAACATATCAAACATTATAACAGAAACTAGTACACACACAATGCCTTCAATAAGAACAATAGCAGATATTTAGAATAAAATGAAAAACATTTTTAATTTACAATGTGCAATAAATAAAATAAAATAAAAATGTTTCTATAAACATCTTTAATACATTAAAATATAATAAAATGTAAACTAGATAAATAATTAAAAATACATCTGTATATGAATAAACAAAATAATTCAATAAACCCATCAACTCAGCCACGTGCACAGCTGCTGTGAAGCCCTGGATCTACGTCAGAGGGCTTCCCTTTAAGTCTATCTGCGGTCAGCACATGGGCAGGGTAAACATTTGAGGACACCCCACACACACACACGCACACACACACACACACACACACGCACACGCACACACACACACACACACACACACACACATACACACACACACGCACACTGCCTCGTACGTTCACATGTCGCACGTCATACAAAAAACACACAGACGGCACAACTACTAAGCATCCATAAATGGGTTCAACAACATTTTGTGGCCTTCTCTCAATGCAGTAAAATAAATAAAAGCAGTACTAAAAACGGTAGTAGACGCTAAGAGAAGGCCCTAGTTTGCTCATACAAATTGTACAAAACTACACAAAGCCAAAATGTAGTTTCATTTTATAGTAATACATTAAAATGTGCCACAGCTTGAATGTATTCCTTAGCATCTCATTTGATAGTTACACCCCCACAAACACACTGCTTCCCCTCCTATTACAGTCCATATCCTCTTGTTTGTGATTCGCATTTAATCACATATATCGGTAGTTATTTTCCCACTGATAACAAAGTTGAAAGGTTAATATTTAAACATAAAAAGACAGATGCAATGCAGATAACATCACATATCAGTACTTATTTGTTCCCATGGTAACAAAGGCAAAGTGTTGGCATAAAAAAGGACTTGAAACAAATGAAAAACAGATAAAAATACAGTTTTTAAAGCAAATCCAATCATCATCTGCTGCTGGTATCTCGCTGTTTGCAGAGTGTATGTCCTGTGCTCATCTGACAGTGAGGAGTGATCTCAGAAAAAGGGAACAATTCACAAAACGTGAGTAATGGCCCCTAAATGAGGGGATCATCATTCCTGTGTAATTTGATCAACAATAGTGTTAGTGTTGATCAGCATCAGTGTGATCATCTTGGGAATTTGATCCCTTTTGTTCCAGCTGATTGATTGGAGATCATCTTTAACGGAGGAATAAACACTGATCTGCGTGTTAACTCTGACTCACTTGACAAACAGTAATGGGGGGGGTGGGGGGTTAGGGGGGGGTAAGTGGTAGTTTTGTGGTAAATGTGCGCATTAACAAGCAGAGTAACGCGCTGCATCTGCGTCATAGCTCTGCTCTTCGTTTGCTCTCTCGCGACTGGCCTCGTGCTGATAACAGGCAGAAACACAAATGATGACAAAACATCAAAACGGGACAACTTTATTTGGTCTGGCCCCGTTATATGAAACAACTGTAATGCAGCAGTGTGACAAAACACCGGGTTCTCTATATTAAAGTCCTTCATATTTCATATTAGGAAGATATATTTAAACGTGTATAATTACCGATAAACCTTTCTTGCTTGTTTTGTACAATGTATGCTCTAATTCTTATTCCTCGTTCTTTTTGTGCTTTATACTTTGAAATATAAGCACATTTAGTGTTTTTGCAACTAAATGTGCTCAATAAATAAGGCTGATTTACCCAAAAGTGCATCGGTGTTAAACATAGATTTATTATGTTGTGTGCCAAACTGTCAAATATTTGTAGGCCTATCATGTATATTACAATTTTTATTAATTATTATAAGTTGGGTGAAATAAGACAAATGGCCTTTTCTTTACCCTAGAAAAACAATTCAAGAGGAATTTGTCATTTATTAATTGTTTATTTATCTGTATGGGCTGACTCGGGTGATTTTCACCTTTCCTTTGTCTGTCCTCGAAGCCATCATATCAATCACCCATCATGTTCCGGGTGTTAAAGCTGATACAGCGCGGGGGGGGGGGGTTGTCATCAAAGGCATCGGGGTGGCCGTTATCACCAGGAGTCCTGCAGACCTCATTTCACTTTCTCTGACAATGACAGCAGGAGCTCTGCGCCTCTGGGTGCTCCTCGCGCTCCGGATGAGGTGCGTCACCCTCCTCGCGCTCCCTCTGGACAGGGGGACGGCACCGGGGAGGGAGCACGGGGTAGATACGGAAACGGGGAGCAAAAAGCTGGACGGGTTGTTACATTTGAAGGATTTACCGCGAGGACCGGCCTTGGCTCCGAACAAAAAGGCGCCTCAGTTCATGTTGGATCTTTTTAACGCGATGACGGTTTCCGAGGGGAGAGCCAAGAGCCAGAAGGAGATTCTGGAAGGAAATACAGTGCGGAGTTTTGAAGATAAAGGTGAGTCAAACTGACATACGTGCCTGGTTCTTCCGTTTATTTGAAAAATAAGTTAAGTCGTGTAACAACAGCATGAACGGTGCGTAATTGTGATCCATATGTGCTTTTACGCACGTTTACGCATGACCCATGTCGAATTTAAACAGCTAAAAGTAAGGACTTTGCTACATTTCTTTTCAGAACAGTATTTCAATGTTTTACTCAAGCTGTGTTTGATATTTTTTTCGCCTGCAGGTAATTCTGGAGAGAGGTTTCACTTCTTCAATCTGTCCTCTGTGGGCAGAGAGGAGAGAATGATCAAAGCAGAGTTTCGTTGGTTCAGAAAGAAACAGAGTTTAACCCCTCGAAAGTCATTTGGGCCTCATTTTATAGAGGTAAGATTGTTTGGTGAGCATTATGTTAATGTGTTAACTGATAAAATATTTCATTTGAAGTAAGGAAACATAAAACCAGAGAGCATGTGACCATATTTTCATTTCATTTAATTTCAAACCCCTGTATTTAGGTCAGGGTTGAATCCCATTGAGAGTCCTTGATCTTTTTTCAAGGGTGACCTGCGATCGATATAATTTAGTATCTGAAAAACGTAGTTGTAGTAACGCCACTAAAAGCCAGCAAAGGAAGACACATCTGCTTCATATCTGCAGGACTTCTGAGATACGCAGTGAGCCTGTGTAACTCTGATAAATAATAGGCTTTTAAAGTGAGAATTTATGACCTAAAACCAGCTCGCCATGTTGTGACTCCTCAGGGATCTGTACGAGGTCTGGGAGCAGGCCGAGTGAAGCCATGGAGAGGAAACCTCATCAGCCTCCCAGACTGGTGCCTCTGCACACGAAGGGAAGGGAAGTCTCAAATTTCACTCCCAAACGGTAAAAATAAACGCCTTCTGTTCAAGACCGAGACCATGCCACGTATCAGTCTCCTTTGCAACAAAGTGCTAATACAACAGCATCCAAAGAAAGCATTAATGTTTTTTTTAAGTATCATTTTGTATAATTGACTGGCACATTCCCCCTAATCACACAAAAGAATTCCATTTGCATCTAAAATACAGAAAAACTTGTAAATATAATAAAAAAACTTTAAGTTAAAGTTAATCAACTGGGAAGTTTGATGATAACTATCCGTAATTTTTGAATTGTACCCCTATTCCCTTGTGGTGTACGTAAATAAATAAACATATACACCTGGGAAAGGTCATTTCCCCCATAATTCGAGCCCAGAGAAGTTATTCTTAATGTAATGTATATTAGTTATTATCTACTACGAAAGTTTTACGAAAGAATATCCAGAATTTGAGTATTTGTTATACCCCGTCGATTGTGGTTGAAATGTCAAGGTGCAAAGTGGGATCCGATAACAGCCTAGGAGAATAACGCATCCCTGGGGTGACACGCGCCCTCTGGGAGCATGGAAGGATCAGCGAGGTCTCCGTCATACCCAAGAGAAAGCCGAGAGCTGATGGACACCACCACGCCTTACCTCGTCCCTCTTCTCCGACGACTGGAGGACGGAAGCGTCAAAACCAGTCGTTTCCTGGGTAACGATGAAGGGGGTGTGTGAGCCGGGGGACCCAGAAGCACATGAGGTCAATTTAATAAGCTTTTCAGTAGCATAGTCCATAATGATCCCAAATGAGACAAATATATAAAGAAAGAGTACTTTATGATCCCAATTGGGAAGATGTTGTATACAATTATAATAAAACAATATTTAAATATAACCATTTTGGGTGTCCCAAAATAAACGAGAAGAACATTCAATACATCTAAGTTAGTTTCCTGACAAGTTGCCTGTTTTAAAAAATGAAAACAAATCTAAAAAATTCCAATAAAATGGCTTCATCTAGAATACCCAAAATGCCAAAAGTGTAATCCTTTATATAAGTATGCTCTCCCCGACCCGATATGCCCCTCCCCTCTCTCTACAGCAGCCTCATCACCCTGGGCCCCCCGTGAGTTAAACGATCATCAACAGCAGGAAGGCGGCGAGCGTCTCAGGTAAATATATACGATAAAAGTACTTTATGATCCNCAACTGAAATATTGCAAGCCTTTTATTATTTTAATATTGCTGATTATGGCATACAGCTTAAGAAAACTCAAATATCCTGATATTCTAATATTTAGAGATAGGATATTTGAGTTTTCTTAAGCTGTATGCCATAATCAGCAATATTAAAATAATAAAAGGCTTGCAATATTTCAGTTGATTTGTAATGAATCCAGAATGTATGACATTTTTGTTTTTTTAAATTGCATTACAGAAAATAAAGAACTTTATCACAATATTCTAATTTTCTGAGACAGTCCTGTACTAGGGGACTTTAATGTTAGTCATCACCTGGGGAAGTTTTATGGTGATATGTTAGTTACGTTTTTTACCTTATACACCTGTAGTGTCTCACCTTAAAGTAACGAAGTACTTGAGTAAATGTACTTTGCCCCCCCGCTCCTCCTCTGACAGGTAGCTCCTCCCAGCTGATCCTCCTCTCAGAGCTCCTGGAAACCTGTCCTCATTTCACACTGGCAGCACATACACGCACACATCACACACATCACACACACATCACACACACACACCCCCACACACACACACACACACACACACACACACACACACACACACACACACACACACACACACAAAAACACACACACACAGGGGGACATGTTGGCCCTCATGGCCGCCGGCTGCATCTTCTTCCCCGGAGTCTTCCTGCTGTCCAAACATGCTCTGAAGCAAATGATGGGATGGAGCCGGGGGGAGGCTGACATCGTGTCTGCACGGTGGGAACACACACACACACACACACACACACACACACACACACACACACACACACACACACATGCACAAACCTGCTGGAACACAACAAAGTACAAAGCTACACACATGTTGCAGGTGGACAAATACAGAGTAACACGCAAACACATAACTGCAGATATACACTAACTCATGAACACACACACACACACACACACACACACACACACACACACACACACACACACACACACACACACTGGCTTACATCAAATCTAGAGTCCATTTCATTTGCAGACTTTCCCTTCTTTATGTTATTCTTTAATCAAGAATTGTTAAACTTCATATGCATGATACATCTTGTTCTTCCCAAACTCACCCCTCTCTCTCTGTCTCTCTCTCTCTCTTTCTCTCTCTATATCTCTATATATATATATATAAATTAACCAATTAATTCTGATTGGTTAGCTGGCCGGCTCTGTTGTGATTGATTAACTGCTTAGAGATGTCCCGCCCATTCACAATGTGATGGAGCTATAGCCAATATAAATGCATGTGTTCCATAGTGATGTCACTATGTTACAGAAGTAAACAAAGGATTCAAATGGAGGCATTTCAGGCAGTATTGGAGAACACAGGGATTTTAGCCTTTGTAGACCATTTACATGCACAGAAACCTAACACTACAGGAGAGGGAAAACCCCCCAAAAAGTAGGACCCCTATACAAATGTTTTTACATATTTCAATGCGAATTATTTATTTTCATGTCATGTCATGGAGAAAATATAATATATAACTGATCTTTTTTTCCGTGTTTTCAGTTTGGTGTCGTCGATCCAGGCCATCATGGCTTCAGCAGCTGGATTTATCATCACCTCCTCCTGCAGGGACGTCATGGAGGACAGGTAAGGACTTCATCTTGTGGGACATGATTCACCATCATTGTTAAGGATAAGGATTCCTTCACTGTTCATGGTTAGGGATCTTTTTACTGGGTCTCCCCTCCCCTCTCATTTAAAGAGTTAAAAACAGTGAATATAGTTTACAGATCAGAGTTTCTCTCTGTTCCGCTAACACTAACTAAGTTAGCTCAACTTGTGTCTTTGATGATTAAAATCCTTCATATTGTTAAAAATATAGAGTAAAAAGCCTCCAAGATCTAAAGAGTAATTAGTATAGTATAGTAAAAATGTGTCTTAAACTGGGTCAAAAGTATATATATTAGAGCTCCTGGCTGAAAACGATTACACATGTTAAAAGGGGATCTAATGCCATTAATTAATGAGAAACATATATGCGGTTCCTTTATAAAAAATATCACTTTTTTAACCAAGTTTTCCATTCATAAATGTGCGAGTTTAATCTAAAAGAATCTGAGAATTTTTATATTATTGTTTTTATTTTTATTTGTAAAATCCTATCCTTAAACTTTGTTTAATTTACGATGGCCATAAACACATATTAAATGCATTATTAACTTTATTTAAATGACACATTTCTCTAACTAACTAACTAACTAACTAACTTACTAACTAACTAACTAACTCAACTTAATATATAACATGGGATAATTTTCAAGATAACAAAAGGGGTTTTGAGGATTGATGAACAAAAGAAATTATATTGAATATTGCCAGCATTATAGCAATTGTCGGTAATGTAAAAATAGGAACATGGTTGCCAGTATTAAAATAAACACATTTCACACTACTGGTGTGCACAAAGCAACCCTCAGTATGTGTGTAATCTAATTAACAACGTGAGCTATTTCAGTCAGTAAGAAGCTGTCAGAGCTCAGTAATCCTGCACGCTGAGGATGATGGGAAACGCTGTGAGGACGGAGAGTTCATCCGAGGTTTCCTCTGCTGCTCCTTCATTTCCCTGTCAAAGTGAACATTTGGTTAACAAATCACAGCGCAGACGCACAGAGAACAAATAACATTGTGACATACAAACACAACCTTAACAAACAATGCTCTCGGCTTTGTTTACACTTTTATTTTCAAGAACATTTCCTTCAAAGAAACTGACCTGCAGCTATTTGTTAGTTATCTTGTTTTCAAAGGGCCCTATTATGCTTTTTAGGGTTTCCCTCTCCTGTAGTGTGTTATATAGGTCTTTGTGCATGTAAATGGTCTGCAGAGGCTCTCCCACACTCCCCCCCGCCCCCCCCTGCCTGAAACGCCTTCATTGGACTCCTTTGTTTACTTCCGTCAAATAATGACATCACCATGTGACACTTGCACTTCTATTGGCTAGCGCTCAAACACATAGTACATGATAGGCTAAGGGGCGGGACATCTCTAAGCAGTTGACCAATCACAACAGAGCTGTCCAGCTAACCAATTAGAGCAGACTGTGCTCTGGTTTCAGACAGAGGGTGAAAAGAGGTGCTGCAGCACAGGCAGTATGAGAAAAATAAAGAGCTTTTTGAACATTAAAGCATGGAGACATGTAGAGACACTACATACTAGGGATGTAATGATACCAAAAACTCACGGTACGATAATATCGCGATAACAAGTCCACGGTACGGTATTTATCGCGATATTGAATAATAAAGGGAAGTATGCATTTTTTTTTCAATAAAACATTTTTTTACTCGGAAAATGATTTTTTATTACATAATAAATCTGATTTTTACAGCAATTGTGTAGGATAGCAGTATTTTAAAGTGTCAAAAACAAAGTGACAGTAACAGACTGGAACAAGAAAACCACTGTTTTTGTACCTACCAGTACTACCAAACAAAGTAAGTATTTTCTTTATGCCACTGCATCTCACAAATAAACAAGGACATTTAATAATCAGACCCTGCAATAAAATAAATCAAGTTTCACTTTAGTTTTTCAAGTAACTCAACTCAAACTCACTAGTCACTCACTCAGCATCATCAGACAGGTTTTTAGGAATATGAGAATGTCCACATTTCCAGGTATTTATAAACTGGGATGTTTGGGCATTTACAATATCCCCTGCTCTGGAAAAAACTCTCTCGCTTGGTACTGATGTTGCTGGGACACCAGTGGTCGCGTTAACCGAATATTTTATTTAACAATGACGGAAAAATCTGAAAGCAGTCTGTCATTTTGACAGTTTAGAACAAACTCGGAACAGCGCCAATTTTTCCCCGCAGCCAGGCTCTGGTGTTATGCCGTTTTATGCATGCCCTCCAAAAGGAAATTATATAGTTTCCAAACCGTGCTTTGCCGTACAGATCAATACATGTCTGGGAGGTTTTGCTTTACGCTGTGCGCGTCCCGCGAGGTGCATGCACACACGGCATAACACCGCCCCCCCCCCCCCGTTGACAGTTCACGAGCATGCTCTATCGTGAACTGTTCAGACCCGACGGGTAATAAGGGATTATGACGGATATTTTACGATCCTGTCTGTCAAAATGACGGACAGCGAAAAAGTCTAACGCCAGGCTTATTGACATGGCGAGATATAAATATATGGTTGGTACATGNGTCGGCTGCACATCCATAATGTGAATCTCTCGCTCCACCACGTCCCAAAGGTGATCTAAAGGATTGAGATCTGGTGACTGTGGGGGCCGTTTGAGTGACAGTGAACTCATTGTCATGTTCAAGAAAACAGCTGGATATCATTTGAGCTTGGCGTGTTACCCTGCTGAAAGTAGCCATTAAGAAGATGGGTACACTGTGGTCATAAAGGGATGGACATAGTCAGCAACAATACTAAGGTAGGTGGTTGCGTAAACAATGCTCAATTGGTACTGAGGGGCCTAAATAAAATATCCCCCACACTATTATACCACCAGCCTGAACCG